TCAAAGAACACAGCCTTCAGTATGGATTACATCTCAATATAAAGAAAACAAAAATCCTCACCACTGGACCAATAAACAACATTCTTATCAACGGAGAGAAGATTGAAGTTGTCAAGGACTTCATTCTTCTTGGATCAACTACAAACTCTCACAGAAGCAGCAGTCCAGAGATCAAAGAGCGTATTGCATTAGGTAAATCTTCTGCACAAGACCTTTTTAAAGTATTGAAGAGTAAAGATGTCAACCTGAGGACTAAGGTTCACCTGACCCAAGCCATGGTGTTTTCAGTAACCTTGTATGCATGCACAAGCTGGACAGTAAATAAGTAAGACTGCAGAAGAATTGATGCCTTTGAGTTATGGTGTTGAAGGAGAATATTGAAAGTGCCATGGGCTGCCAAAAGAACCAGTATAACCGTTTTGGAAGAATTGCAGCCAGAGTTCTCCTTGGAGGCCAAGATGGCCATACTTCGTCTCTCTTATTTTGTACATATTGTCAAGAGGGACCAGTCACTGGAGAAGGATATCATGTTTGATAAGGTGGAGGGTCAGAGAAAAAGAGGAAGACCCCCCAGCGAGATGGATTGGCCAAGTGGCAGCATCGATGGACTCAAGTGTGGCAACAGTTGTGAGGTTGGCCCAGGATCGGGCAGTTGTGCATAAGGTCTCTATGGGTCGGTACCGACTCAATGGCACCTAAGAACAACAACAGGTAACAGGACTTGTCCAAAATGGGTGGCATAATGAAGTCAGACAAGGAAGCAGGAGAAAGATTCCATTTCATAAAATTATGTCATCTAGGGATTGCTTTTCATTTGAATGTTTCTTTTTATTGGATGTGATACCAGTTCCCTTGCTGAGTGGTTCCTCTGTAATGACAAAATGTTTTGAATTTTATCAAACTTTCCAGCTTCTCTGAGACAGGTCTTCCAGATCTCCATTACAGAACTTCCTCTTCATTACAGCTGCAATTAATGCTAATGTTGGGAACAGGCACTCAAGGGGAACAGTCCATAAAGACACCAGCTTACTACTGTTTGGATTTCTGCAGCTAGGTTTAGGGTTTTTTAAGAAGGGCAGAATCCCAGTGTGTTCAGATGGTCCTCTCACTCAGTTAATTTGAAATTGTCCTTTATGCAGCTCCCTGACAATGTGCTGTTCGTACTCCCCTGGGCATTAGTATGTCTGAGTTGCAGAAGATACCAGCTTCTTGCCTGGTTGGTGACTTGATAAATCATTCTGTGCTTTGGCTTCTCTTCCATCTCATAAGATGGGCTGATGCTTACCACCATGCATTGCGGTTGTGGATCTTCATAGTTACCCTATGCAAGGGTCTTCCTTCTTTCCTCCATCCTTCCTCCCTACTTCTCTTCCTTCCTTTCTTTTTCTCTCTCTTTCTTTCCTTATTCTTCTCAATGAGGAAATAGTGGGAATTGGAAAAAATTGGGGGTTTGGGTGTGCTTGCTAGTGTTGTTTTTGTTCAGTGCAATCCAGTTCCCAATCAGTATTTAAAAAGTATTTACTTATCTCAACTCATTGTCTCAAGTCTTTTGCTGCTCTTGGAATACCTCTGGGAGCCTGCAAACTCTAAACAACAGTTAACTACTAAGTAAGTTAGGCCTGGTGTGGCGCTGTGGGCTAATGCACCAGACTGCAAAGCCATTTGAACTGCAAGGTTGGTGGTTCAAGCTCACCAGCTGCTCCTTGGAAACCCTATACAGGGTCGCTATGGGTCAACGGCACTTAACAACAACAACCAGTCTCTAA